ACACTCCCGATAATATATTGACAAGTGGAGAAAGAAAAGCACAGAAAGATGGAAGTCAAAACTCTAACCCAGACTTAAAAGGCCCATTGGGCCAAAACCATGAGCTTACATGGCTGAAATTGAACCAGGAAATATTTTATGGATGGATAGGATTTGGTAGTGGAGATTCTGTCGGTTTTCAGTTGATCCTTCCAACCGTATCCAGACAAACGACACTAAAAACGTTTGAGCTTACGGGGGCAGCTTATCTAGTCTTCAAACATCCATGAGGGAGAAAACCAATGACACATTTTACTGCTGTAAGATTACAAGGTATGTTTCTTCTTTTTCTTACTCTTCCTGTGTTCTCCTGTTAATTTCCAATGTTCTTGGTGATCAGCTATAGCCTATAGGCAACAGTGCAACATGTTGAAGCCATTGGCTGCAACGCTTAGCTCCTCGTGCCCAGGGTCTGGTGTAGGGGTACACCATGAAAACTTCGCAAAGCAGTGTTACCTTCCGAGGTGAGTTTCATTCTCTCTATTGCGGTTCTTAAGAAGATGTAAACTGTTATTTGTTTGTTGTGTGGTTGGACTTACTTTGGAGTGAATTGAACTTTGTTTATTGTGCTAGTGTAAGTCTACAGTTTCAATTCTGAAGAAAACCAAAGCTTTACATCATAGAAAGCAGAAAAAGTTTGTCAAATTAGTACTTCTTTCACTTAGAATGCACAATATCGTTCAAATTTCTTGCTGATATACTCGCCTCAAACGAAGAGTTTGCAACACAAATTTTTTGTGGATTGTTTAATTTTTGCCTGCTTTAAACTGTCTGAGTCAATAGATTTTGATTTCCTATATATCTTTTATGGATTCCCTATGACAATGGTCCTATCTCTTACGCTGTATACTTGCAAAAGCTCCTTCAGACTTTACCTCTTATACCGTGTGATAAAATATCTCAAATCCTTGAATTTTCGAGGAACTGCATTGCAATTGCTGACAACATAGAATTCGCTTCAATCTGATAGCTAGCATAGCGTTTGCGAAAGATGCATAATTTTGTTAATATCTATCACTCCATGATCCTTGTTGCTCTACATCCCCACTTCACTTTTTCCTGGGATGGAAGAAGAGAGAGAGAGAGAGACAGATTTCTTGGCCTATGTCTCTACTTTACTTGAATTGTATATTCCTCAGGTCTTGTGAAGGAGGTCGCTTGCCAACAGCTTTCGGAGGATCATTGCATTTCTGTTCTAATGATCAAAACTTTTTTCAAATTAGAGGATTAAAAATCAGGTGCCCAACCCGACAGCAACATATATTTCCCAAGTGTACAGCAGACATTTCTGACAGCTCCTGTCAAGAGGAGAAAGATGTTTCTAAAGCAACCTTGATATGGAGGGCAATTAAATTGCCAATTTATTCTGTTGCTTTGGTTCCTCTAACTGTAAGTTTCTTAGGCACATGGAAGTTCTATCATAAAGAACTAGTTTGCTCTCATTAGCAACTTGCTATTTTTAGATTGTGAATCAATTCTATCCTGTGGAGACAGCCTTGGAAGAGTCCATTATGAGAATCTTGATAGACAATTAGACATGATAACATAGTACTTAAACCAAGAAGTTTAAGCTAGTAGACACTCACTCTGCTGTTAACAACGGTTTATCCATTGAGCAAAAAAACAATTGTTTATCCATCTAATAATTAGTTTACATACTTGTAACATACAATAATTTTGTACTGTTTATGCTTGCTCATGTGTAAAGCAATTAGGCATTATTGTACAAATAATGTAAGTATAGCTGCATGTCATGTAGGCAGAAAGTATGGATTGTTTACTCTAAAACTGTAACAGATTGAAGGAAGAATGGTCAACACATTTATTTTGGTAAATAACTTCCCAGTATAGATAGCTTCACTTCAAAATATTTGCTTGAAAGGTCCTGAGTTTTCATTTCCAGCTTTTCTTTTATCTGGTATACTAATTACTAGGTTGATAATAATTTTGACCTGCTTGGTTAAATGATCATATACTGATTCAAAATACAAGGAGAACTAATAGTGGACAGCATAACAACACGCACAAAGTAACACAATCAACTTGACAGACAGCCTTAATATTGGGAGAATGCACTTGACACCTTAGTTTTAATCCAGTCTCAAACAGAAGTTACACTTAAGCATTAGCCAATATCGTGCATCAGCTTGATCAAAAAGGTCATGTTGCTGTTTCACCTTGTATGTCTCTACCACACACAAAGTTGTAAATTCTTGGTTTGTGCTCTTTAACTGCTGTTGCGATATAAATGTTTGATAATTCACAAATGTGCTTCTGTCAATCTTAATGTACTACTCTTTATTTGTGCATTACCCCTGTTAATACTTTTGAGTAGGTAGGTGGTGCAGTGGCTTATTTGCAAACAGGCCTATTTTCTGTTAGACGTTATCTTATGCTCTTGGCTTCTTCAGTTCTGATTATTACTTGGATCAATTTAAGGTGAGTTATGGCAGTGGTGAATAGTTAACACTGGATTCTCAGCAAGGCTGTTAAAATTTTCAAATTTTTTCCATGCGCAGCAATGATGTCTACGATTTTGATATAGGAGCAGATAAGAACAAAAAGGAGTCAGTAGTAAATTTGGTTGGCAGGTAAACTTGATTCTTTGCCTATTGCCAATATATGTTTCTTCTTTTGTTTGTTTGCTAGTTTTTCCTGTGCTCTGATGAAAAAACTGCTTTGTATGTGTGCTTGGAAAGCCGTTCAGGGCCATTTATTGCTGCCTACTTGTCACTTGCCCTTGGCTTCATGGGGCTGACTTGGGTATCTGCAGATGCCGGAAATGTGCGTTCATTGTTATTACTGGCTTGCGCAATCACTTGTGGTTATATATATCAGGTAGAGGGGATCTAGTTGGCATAATGGGAAGAACTTCTTCAAGCCAATTTCCAACAATTTTTCTCATTTAAGGGGCATGCATGCTGCGTGTAGCAGGCCTGACTTTTCATTTATCGACATAAGTGACAAATGTTTGTTAAATGATCACTTCTATCCAGCTACCATAACTTTAACGAGGTTCTGATATCTGTTTAACATTGGATCCATTGCAGTGCCCACCATTTCGGTTAAGTTACCAAGGATTGGGAGAGCCCTTGTGCTTTGCAGCTTTCGGCCCATTTGCTACTTCTGCTTTCTACTTGTTGCTGGGCAGCACAAGGTTGTTTACTCAAAAAGAATGGAACATTTCTATATTTCATTTTTTTTCCCTTCAATACATTAATTTTGGGCAATTTTGGCAGTGAGATAATATTCCTCCCCTTAACTCGCACAGCTCTTTCTGCATCACTCCTTGTAGGCGTCACAACAACCCTTATTCTGTTTTGTAGTCATTTTCATCAGGTTAATATTGTCTTCTTGATCTTTCAATTTGTTATAAAATCTGCATTCTCATCACAGGCTTTCTATTAATAACATGGGTGTTTTATATTTCAGATTGAAGAAGATATGGCCGTTGGCAAAATGTCACCTTTGGTATGCATGCTCAATAGTCAAAGAGGTTTCTGTGTTACAGAGGGAGAAAAATTTTGTTTTTTCTTTTTATATTGCAGGTCAGGATGGGCACTGAGAGAGCTTCAGTAGTTGTGAAAGGGGCAATCTTGACACTCTATGCTCTTTTATTTGCTCTTGGTTTTTGCAGAGCTCTTCCACTGACTTGCGTTGTGAGTAAAAGTTAAATTGGTAGTCAAAATGCATTTCATCTGATTTATGCTCAAATAGTAGTTCCTATGTATGCTTATCCCAACTGCTGTGTCTGTGTTTGGTTTTATCAGGTTTTTGGTGCCCTGACCTTACCCATAGGGAAACTGGTTGTTAGCCATGTCGAAGAGAACCACAAGGTGAGTAGTAAACTTGCCTGTTAACCTCAATGTTGGTAACAGAGATAAACCCCAAAGATGCAAATGAGAAAAGTGATTGAAAGATCCTTTTTCCTCTAACTAGTTGCGCCATTTGTCATATGATTTATAACCATGTGGACCATGACACTGAGAGAGAAGATTATTATCCTTTTCTTTTCTAATACGAATTTTTTCTTACAGGACAAAGGGAAGATCTTCATGGCAAAATATTATTGCGTGAGATTGCATGCTTTATTTGGAGCTGCAATGACTGCAGGGCTGGTCTATGCTAGGATGCTTGCTAAATGATAAGCAAAGAGGTTATCATTTTCTCCTATGATTAGAGTTTATACTTCATAGCCTAGATTTCGAGAGTTACTGTGACCAGCTTGATTACTCTTTAGCAATTTTGAGAGTGGAGGGATTAGGAAATCATTTATCCTTGTTTTCCAAACTCAAAAGTCTTGGATAAAAAGATGAGTTGGGGATTAGGATTCAGAGTTGCGGTGGGACAATATTCTTTGGAAAGGGGAATCTCTGAAAATGTTTGTCTCAAGATTGCTGGGACTGCATGCATTTATTTGTATTGAAAGGAGAATAATAACAGAAAATAGGAGAGGACTACTGGGTTTACTTCGACGCCCTTTTAGATGTAGTGAATAGCGGATAACATTGAAAGTAGAAGCTCGACCATGGTTCAAAATGTTATCTATAACCCTATTAGCGGGCTCCTTGGAGCCAAGGCTCATTCTGTGTGTTGCTTTATCATGCAACCTCTTTTGCTTTTGTATCGTTTTCTTGCTTCTTTTTGGAAACACTGAGTACATGCTTTCTTTGGATGAATGAAAACAAATGAAAAAACAAATTCAATTTGCATAAAGTATGCTTGCTTCGGAGCTCTGACTGCCTCACTGCATTGCTTTTGGGTAGAAAGGGTTCCATAAGCCTTCACCTCAACTGCCAACGGGGAAACGAGGGAGAACTCGTAGTCCAAAGTGATCCACTCTCCATTGGATGGCTACGAATATCATGATTTGGGCCACATGCTTACAATTTAATCAAACCAAAAATAGCTGATGGAGCTGACTTTGAGAGCAGAATAAGAAGTTACGAACAAGGCTTCAGTCAGCAGTATAATCATTTAAATGCGATTAAACTCATTTGCCAGGTCAAAAGAGCACATTCACAAGACCCCGTGCAATAACAAAGTAGATTGAATGTCAAACTCAAAACATTCACAAAAATCTAAACCAACTCTCAGTATTCAAAATAACAGAACAAAATTTGAATACTACGCCAAATGATAGCTGCATATAACACTACAAAACCTGACTACTGACAACACGCATTGCCCATCAAAACTCCAAAAGCAATCTAAGCCACAACTGATGGCTTAGAAGCAGCAGAGAGCTTGGACCTCCTCTTTGCTAAACTCTCACTACGGCGCTCCCGCTGCTCCTTCAATCTCAAGGCAAGCAGTTTCTGGTACTCAGCTGCTTCTGCCTTGGCCTTGGCAATTCTTTTCTCCTTATCTGCAATTCTAGCACGCTTCCTCTGGAGTGTCAATGGAGTTACCAGCCTCTGGATTTTCGGAGCTTTACTCACCTTCTTGCCTGCAAACAACATGAGTTATTCTCAGTAAGTAAAGTAATAGTTTCAACAGAGAATCACCACTCTCACCAAGCCTCTCTCATTCCAACCCCGATCCAATCTCCAACACCCTACTTCCTGCATGCTCCATTCATGAAAAATTGAAAACGCAAACCCCTTTTTTAACTCTGTTAGGAGGGTTGACAATGGGATGGGCGAAGGGCATGCAGATGAAAAGCACAAAATCACATTTTAACAATGCTAGAAGCTAGAGGCCTCGAATTATAGTTGGGCACATTCACATAGATTAAAGTCGGTCAGGAGAAAATAGAGAGAAAGCAGACACAGAATTTCAACCTAATAGCGTGCACATTACGCACTGTGCTATGATCTAGAAGATAAATTCATACATTAAAGAGACAATTTGACAGTACCCAATTAAGTGGAGAATGCCTAAGTAGCTATGGGAACATAACACATCCACCTAGTCTCCTAAAATCTTGTGGCCATCTTTATTACAAAAGAAAATGAAAGAAAAGAAAGCAACTTTACCAGATTTTGTTGTGAAAGTCCTCCTGTAAGTGTTGACATACTTCCGGACATCATCCTCCTTGGAAAGGTTAAAGAGCTTTCTAATCTTGGATGCTCTCTTTGGACCTCTCATCCTTGGTTTCTCAGTGTCAGTTAGCCCGGGCAGATCATTCTCACCCTTCTTCACTATAACCAAGTTCAGAACAGACAGGTCTTGACTAACAATGCATCCGCGAACAGACTTCCTTCTGCGCTCTCCATTACGTCTTCCGTATCCACGGAAGCATGGGGTACCTGTTGAAGCAATATAACTGAATTAGCTCCCAGTTTTGCATAAGAAGACATGAAGGCTTGGAAACAGCTGTTCTAACCCGTAAAAGCTTAGTGGAGCAATGGTACACCAACCAACAAAGGCAACAATGGTAAAGCATGCATAAACATTAAGCGATGCAAGCAGAATTAGCCTAAACATAGAATTACCACCAAGACCGATGCCTTGATGACAAAAAGAAATTAGAAAACACCCTGTTCCGTTTCTTAATATTCACTAATTCCATATCCCACAAATCACAGAAACTGCACTACTGAAAATATCTATTTTAGAATCAGACAACTCACCTCTATGAAGCAAGAGACGAACACGACCAGGAGTTAGAACACCCTGCTTCATTGGAAATCCTTGCTTGTCGCAACCTCCCATGATCTTGAAAACGAAGCCCTTAAATTCCTGTCAAAACAACAGAAACTCTACTAAGTTGAATAGATCAACCATTACTTCAAAAAAGAGATTTAGATGCAAATAGATCGCATACCTCGCCCAAAGCATCTCCGACAACCTCCTGGGAGATCCTCTTGTCAAAAAATGTCCGACTGTCACATTTAAAGAACATCAATTTCTTTACTTACATCAGGATTTTAAAGCAAATTTTACAAACTCAAGATAAATCTTAGATCCTGTGTCATCTCTAATCAACGGTTCGATCTTCAGAATTCTCATTGCTGCTTTTTTTAACGACTTTCTCAGCAACCAAACAGAAATAAAACAAAAAAAAATTGAAAACAAAATTGGAACTTACAGCTTCTGATCGTCATCAATCTCTAGCTTCTTCTGGCAACCCGTGGTAGGATTCGCGATATTAAACTGCACAAAAATGAATTAAAATTAAATCACACGGAATGAGAGATTTGCCTCTCAAATTAGGGTTTTCCTTCCTTTTATTTATCTATTTATTTTCTTGTTTGTGGCTCGTACCTTCATTTTTTTTATCAGCTTTAGCTGCTGCTCAAAAGCACCAAAGGCAGCTCAGTGTGCGAAACAGAGATGATAAGACAGAAAGAAATTAGGGCTAATAAAATGATGCCGTATATAAGAAGCGGATGGTTCTTGGGTTTTAAACTGGGGGATTTTATTTGGGCCTTGACACCGGAAGTCTCAATGTAGGCCTGATTACTCAATATGGATTAAAAATAAAGTGGTTATTGGACCGAACTTGTTTAGGCATATTAATTGGCCCAATGTTATACAATAAAATAATAAAATGGGTTTTATGTTGAAATTGTTAAATGTTTTAATGTCATGGAATAATGCTTAAAAAAACTCTTAAATTATTTTAAAAAATTTGAATAAATTTTTATTTTTTTATTACATTCAATATAGTATTTATATTTTCATTTTAAATCAAATAAGTTTTTATTATTAACATTTAACTAACTGTCATTAATTAAATTATCACTTATCATTTTATGTCACATAATGTTGATGTGGTATATAAATATATAATAGTACATGATAATATAACATAATAACATGACAACATCACATTTTAACCCTCCATATCATCTACATGTTAATGTCATGGGCTTTTGTTCCAACACACCGTGTAGCTTTAACCACACCCCTTAAAGGTCCCTTAGGTGGCTAAGTTAGTCTCAACCCTCTCGCTTGTTAGGAACGGATCACACTTGTGCAACTAAGGGTGTTCAGCTCACAACCAATAAAGAAGATTAAAGAATAAGAGAAAATGGAATTAAGAGAGCATGACAAATATAACTTCCATTGATGAGAGAATAGATACAAGCATTCCTAGAGTTTCTAACCCTTCAAAGGGAGTTTATCAAGATTTTTATAGGCAATAAATCCTCATATAGCCATTGCAAGTATTAATTTAGCAAATGCATCGTGATAATGAAGCTATGGTATCAAAGGTATATAATCAAGTATACAATGAAAAAAATTGATTTATTAGAGTTCAACATAGCATTGTAAAATAAAGAATTAGTAATGGTATAATTACTATAAGTTATGTGAGGTCTTATAAAAATTTAACAGATCCAATATTATTATGTAAAATTAAACTTGTTGCTTAAAGTTTGTGACATACATGTTAGAACGTATTAGTTATTCTAAATAAAAAATAATACATTGATGAAATTCTAAGTGACAGTGTAACACTATAACTTATATATGAGAATTACATAATAATTTATTAATTTTTAAATATTAAAATTATAAAAAATAAAATTTATATAACAGAAAAAAGAAAAACATAACAAGTAGAAGATAGAACCCATATATGATATAATAAAAAAAATATGATTGATAGTTCATAAAAATTTGTGAAAGAAAATCTATGGAGATTTAAAATATATAAGTAAATAAAATATAAATTTAAAAAACAAATAATAATAATAATAATATAAATTGTAAAAAAAAATTAAAATTGAGTCAAGCATACGGAATCATTTTGTTATTTTTTTATTTATGTTAATTATTAAGTAAAAAATTATTCTGATGGTACTATTAAAAAATTTTAAAAATTTATATAATATATAAGAAATCTTAAAAATTTTAGAGGGCCATCCCTTAAGGAGGCTCCACCTCTGCCTTGGGGGAAAGATATCTTTTGGGAAATGAGCTCTGAAATCAAAATCTTATGTGTTTGTTCAATTTTCATTTTTTAATGTTTTTTTTGTTCTATGTCAAAGAAAGGGCGTTCATAGTATGATTTGGACACGCTAATGCTTGTAACGTCTCATATCGATATGAAATGTTTATCTATTTTTCTCTTTCAATATGGAAATGTTTACCAATTTTGAGGCCAACCCTTAGGTCAAAGTTATGCAAAATCTTGACTAATTAGATTTCATATTGTGAAAACACCCCTCCATCTAGTTTATATTTTCTTTATCTGTTTTGCTATTTGTGTTTCGGAGTATCTAATCTGTTTTGTGTTTTGCTATTTGTGATTGGCATCTCAAGTCTTTTCTTTCTTCCGATGAATATTGGTTATTGAATAACTTAGCTTTTATTTTATTGACAATTTCACTTTTTTTACTTTTATGTTTGTTTATGATTTTTTATTTTTCTTTTTTATTCATTTATGTATATATATATCAATCAAAATGAAATATAAATGTAAAGGCAAATGACTTAATTGTTGGCCCATTTTTCCCCTCAATAATAAATATACAAATAAAATTTGTTTATTACAAGTGATATTCACTAATTGGGTGCAGTTTTAAGATTATAAAATTGAAATTAGGATTGAGAAAATAAAATAACAAAAGTAGCCAAAAAAAAAAAACTAAGATATCAATTGTGGTTATGGTTCATATAATTATAAGATAGTAATTTATGTGTAAATATATGCAGTTTGAATAACAGTGCTTTCCCGTTATGTATACACTATAAAATAAAATAAACACAAATAAATTAGTAGCCAAATATGCAGCGCTACTTGCTTGGGCTCAAAGTATTGGTTCATTTTGACATGGGGCTGGACCATATGTGTTGGGACTAGTCAGTGGATTTAAGAAAACTAGGCCCGATTACTGTCCAGGCCTAGATTAGAATGCGTATTATGTATACTAAAATTGTAGAAATTTTCAAATATATAACAACTTAAAATCTTTTTTAAAATATTTAAATAAATTATTTATTTTTTATCATGTTTAATTAAGTTTTTGTACATTTATTTTGAATTACATAAGTTATTATAATTAATGATTGACTTAATTAAAATATCAATTGTCATTTTACGTCACTTATTGTTAATGTGATATACTAATGTATTATAATGAATGATGATATTACAAGTTAAAGTGACATGATGATATGATCATGTGAAATTTTTTATTTTTCACATTAGCTTTACATCAGTATCATATTGATATAAATGACAAGTGACATTTTGTAAGGGTGAGTAAAGATAGGCCAAACCAAATTACTTGACCAATCCAAATGTAATTCGAGTAAAACAGCTCGATTTGATTGATTTATTCAATTCTTTGATCCAACAATTTTGATTATAACAATTTATTTGGTTGGTTTTTGATAGGAAAATTGTCAAATTGAACTAATGGAAAAATCAAAATTAATATAATATATCATATATATGTTATGATTTTACGTACGTGTAATTATTTTTTATGTTGATTTGTATTAATTTATTTATGTTTAAATTTTTTTGTATATTTTATAATCATAGATGAAATTTATAAATTTTAATGTTGTAATTTATAAAAGACAAAAGTGATAAAAATTTAGTTATTTTGGTTCATAATCGAACTAGGTGAATAAGTTTGATCTTCGATCAATTCGAATCTGTCCTTAATTTCAGTTGATTTTTTTAAAAATTTTGATTCATTCGATTATCGGTTATGGCATAACGATTTGATTGAATTAACCATTTACTCAATTTTAACATTTTAATTAATAAAAATTAATTAATTATTAATGATATAAATTTATTTAACTCAAAATAAAAATATATAAATTTAATTAAATTTAATAAAAAATAATTTTTTTAAAATAATATAAAAAGTAATTTTTAGGGTCATAAAAAAAAAAGGCTAAAGATATACATAAAGTATTGAGTAGCAAGTACATAATACTGCTCTTGCGTCCACATTCCACATCAATCAATCAAATAAACGCCTTTTTTTTTTCCCCTCTAAAACAACTTAACCTCGTTTCGAGTTAACGGAGAAAGAAACAAAGAATGTGCTTTAAGCTTTGACAAGGAAGGGGAATGAAAAAGGAAATGAAAGAGAAGAAGATGTTAGTGGCATAAACTAAAGACATCACTGTCTTGTACAATCAATAATTTTTAATGAAATATGATGAAATATCCAAATTAGTTATCTCCTCTAAAGTTGACAGTTGAAATCATAGCATCTTGACTTTTTCAAGTGAATATGCCCAAAATTTAATGATTTTTCCTTGTAATTAGCCGTGTATAACATGGGATAGAACAATGCTATTTATTTTATTTAATAAATGTTAATTGCTCAGGTTGTACAATTCATAAGTTCAAGGACTTAAATTTATAAAATAAAATTAATTTTCTTTTTATGCTGTAATATTATGAATTTGTACTTTGAACATGAAAAAGCAATAAAGCACAGAACAAGAAGGTCAAAAGAGGAAGAGAGAAAAAACGAGGCCCTCGGCCCTCGGGTCATTATAAAAAAGGACATCCAAGCAAAGTGCCTTACCTATTTCTCCAAAACACGACCTCTCAAATCTCAATCCCTCGAATAATCCTTTCAGTTTCATTTCCCATCTGAACACCACCGAAAACCATGGCCACCCCTTCCCCACGCGAGGAAAACGTCTACATGGCGAAACTCGCCGAGCAAGCCGAGCGCTACGAGGAGATGGTCAAGTTCATGGAAAACGTCGTCTCCGCCGTCCCCGCCCCCGACGAACTCACCGTCGAGGAAAGGAACCTCCTTTCCGTCGCCTACAAGAACGTGATCGGCGCCCGCCGGGCTTCCTGGCGGATCGTCTCCTCCATCGAGCAGAAAGAAGAAGGACGTGGCAACGCTGACCATGTCTCCGTCATCCGAGAGTACAGGGCCAAGATCGAGGCCGAGTTGTCCGAGATTTGCGCCGGAATTTTGAACCTTCTCGACGAAAAGCTCGTTCCCGCCGCTGGGACCGGGGATTCCAAGGTCTTTTACCTGAAGATGAAGGGAGATTACCATAGGTACTTAGCTGAGTTCAAGACAGGCGATGACAGGAAAGCTGCTGCCGAGAACACGCTCACTGCGTATAAATCTGCTCAGGTTTGAGGGCATTTTGTATTTTCCTTTTCTATTCTATTCCTTTGGTCAGCTTGATTTGGTTTACTTTTAGGGTTTGGTTTATTTTAACTGTGAATTATGATAAATAAGTGTTAAATTTTGCGAATCTGGTTTCATTTGATCGCGGCAGTGTTTGATTGGAGGCAATCTAGTTTGTTGATCAACATTTACTGTTATACCCTTGATGTGTTGTTTATTTCTATATAGCTAAGATCGGGATCTGCTTTGAATTCTGTAGCTTGATTAGGTAACAGAAGCGTT